GGAAATTCTTGCAGGTCGGGTTTGCCAGACATGAATCTCGACCAGGTTAATCATTTTCGGCAGAAAAAATTCCAACCCCCACCCTTTGAGTATGTAAAAAGCCGCATTCCTCTTTGAATTGAAAATAATCTCAGCAGGTCGGCAGAAATTTTTGCAGGTCGGGTCTGCCAGACATGAATCTCGACCAGGTTAATCATTTTCGACAGAAAAATTTTCCAACCTCACCCAAAAGTTTCACAATTCTTAAAACATTTTAAATACATTTTGCAGGTTGGCGGATCATTTTCGACAAAAAAACTTCCAAACCCCACCTTTTGAGTATGGAAAAAAATCCACATTCCTCTTTGAATTGAAAATAAACCTTGCAGGTCGGCAGAAATTCTTGCAGGTCGGGTTTGCCAGACATGAATCTCGACCAAGTTAATCATTTTCGGCAGAAAAAATTCCAACCCCCACCCTTTGAGTATGTAAAAAGCCGCATTCCTCTTTGAATTGAAAATAATCTCGGCAGGTCGGCAGAAATTCTTGCAGGTCAGGTCTGCCAGACATGAATCTCGACCAGGTTAATCATTTTCGGCAGAAAAGTGTTTCAACCCCCACCCAAAGGTTTCACAATTCTTAAAAAATTGTAAATACATTTTGCAGGTCGGCGGAAATTCTTGCAGGTCGTGTCTCCCAGACATGAATCTCGACTAGGTTGATCATTTTCGACAAAAAAAATCCAGCCCCACCCTTTGAGTATGGAAAAAATCGACATTCCTCATTAAATTGAAAGTAAACCTTGTAGGTCTGCAGAAATTCTTGCAGGTCGGGTCTCCTAGCCATAAATCTCGCAGCAAAAAATCCAACACTTATCCTTTGAGTATGGAAAAATTGCAGGTCTAACCTCTTTTCTTTTGTGATACGAAAATCATAGCTTGCAGGTTGATTGTAATATTCGATACATATCAGTTTTGGAATATTTCATTTGGTCATTTTTTAAGTAAAGAGGTGGCAATGGGTAGGAAAACAGAAATACTACTAACGTTCATAAGTAGTATCGCACAAAAAAACAAATAATGAAATATAATAACTATAGAACACAAATATCTTCTCCGTAACAAATAAACCATAAGAAATTAAATCAACTTGGTTGAGATTCATATCTGGGAGACCCGATATGCAAGAATTTCCCCCGATCTGCAAAATGCATTTCCAATTTTTTAAGAATTGTGAAACTTTTGGGTAGGGGTTGGAAAATTTATCTGTCGAAAATGATTAACCTGGTCGAGATTTATGTCTGGCAGACTCGACCTGCAAGAATTCTGCCGACCTGCAAGGTGTATTTTCAATTTAAAGAGGAATGTGGATTTTTCCCATACTCAAAGGGTGGGGGTTGGATTTTTTTGTCGAAAATGATCAACCTGGTCGAGACTCATGTCTGGGAGACCCGACCTGCAAGGATTTCCGCCGACATGCAAAATGTATTTATAATTTTTTGAGAATTGTGAAATTATTAAGTGGGGGTTGGAATTTTTTTTTGTCGAAAATGAATAATCCAGTCGAGATCCATAACTGGCAGACCCGACCTGCAAGAATTTCTGCCGACCCGCCAGGTTTATTTTCAATTTAAAAAGGAATGTGGAATTTTTCCATACTCAAAGGGTGGCGGTTGAAATTTTTTTTAGTCGAAAATGATTAATCCAGTCGAGATTCATAACTGGCAGATCCGACCTGCAAGAATTTCCGCCGACATGCAAAATGTATTTCCAATTTTTTGAGAATTCTTAAATTATCAAGAGGGGGTTGGAAATTTTTTCTGTCGAAAATGAATAATCCAGTCGAGATCCATAACTGGCAGATCCGACCTGCAAGAATTTCCGCCGACCTGCAAAATGTATTTCCAACTTTTTAAGTATTATGAAACTTTTGGGTGCGGGGTTTGGAAAATTTTTCTGTCGCAAATGATTAACCAGGTCGAGATTCATGTCTGGCAGACCCGACCTGCAAGAGTTACCCGATCTGCATGAATTTCTGTCCTCCTACAAGATTACGAGAGCAATGTCTACTGAGAACAATTTGCTGCCCTGCAGACCTGCAAAATAGTTATACCCGTAAGAAGTATTGTCTTGAAGTTATACGCCACTTGCGAGAAGCAATTCGAAGAAAACGTCCGGTAATGTGGAAAAACAATTCATGGTTTGCATCACGATAATGCACCTCCTCACTCGTCATTGCTTGTTTGTAATTTTTTGGCCAAGAACAAGACCGTAATCATGTATCAGCCACCGTATCACCAGATATGTCCCCCTGCGGCTTTTTTCTACCCCAAGATTGAAAAAACTCATGAAAAAAAGTGCATATCAGAACTGCTTCGAGGATTGGAAAAAACGCTGGCACGAGTGTATTATATCTGAGGGGGACTACTTTGAAGAAGACCTAATAGAAATTAATGAATAAATATTTTTTGAGAAAAATGAAAATTCACCTTTTTTCTTTAACAGACCTTTCAAACAAGATGCAGCTCAACCCTCCTTTCCGTTGGTTGCAAAATACTGAATGGGATGATCTGAAGACAGGTGGTTGAATATAGGTTTTGATTTTTTTTTTGTAAAATAAAGGTTTTCGAAAATGAATTGCGACCTAACCGAGAATTTGTAAAAATATATTTCTGTTACGGTGATACGGTTTCAACACTGTACATATTCTCTTGGAAAAATAATTATATTTGTTACGTACAGTTCCCAACCAGTGATCTGCTAAACCCAAGATTCAAAAGCTCCTGGGTAAGTCCGCATCTCGTGAAAACTTTGGCATCCACTTCCGCAATTCCAACTCCCAATGCGATGAGATAACACAAAATAGCAGTATTCATTATTCTATTGTCGAAACGTTGCACCACAATCTTAAATATTATAAATTTTCAATCGTCAAACAAAATAGGCACTTTCATGCGGTCGACGATTTATCATTGTAAACCTACTGTTGTTTGCGTGAACTCAAATATTAACAGATAGTCGATTTGAATATTTAATAACCTTGACTACAATGAACCTTGATTATGTTTTCAGCACACAATAAACTCAAGTAGGTTTGCAACGCGCTCTACGAAATAATAGTAATAATAGTAACACCACGTAATTCAGTGAACTCATATATATATACTGTGCATTTGTTTACTGTCCCCCCTTTTATTTTTAGAACGGTCACTTTTCAAAAAATTGAAATTGAGGATAATGAAATTATTGCATGAATAGGTACTTTATTTTGAAGTGAAATTGACAGATGAAACTTTCAAGATAGCGACTGGGCGCCATCTGGACAAAAAAATTAAATGGAAAGGGGGGTCTTGTGACACATCATTTTGAAGCTCCTGATAAATACTTCACAACCCTAGAATATGACGTCAATATGAAAATGGCGGAACATTTAATATTTCCTGGAGACAAACACATTAATATCGATATTTCTAGAAATATTTCTTGCAATTACATTACAAGGCATCCTAACTATCTCCACAATATTTGTTTTAGTGACGAATGTACATTTTTTTTAAACGGCAATGTTCACAGAAAAAATTACCGTTATTGGAGTGACACCAACCCTCACGTTTTCCGAGAAACTTACCCAATACCCAGAAAAAATTTAACGTTTGGGCAGGAATATTAGGAAACCATAGTGTAGGATCTCTATTTATTGATCAAAATTTAACAGGTAAACTGTATTTGAATATGCTGAAAACTACTGTTGACCCTCTCATCACTGAAATCGTCGAAGCGAATCCTGATGAATTCGATCTGGATGTTGTATTCTAACAAAATGAGCACCACCAGATTACTCCAAATAAGTGAGAAACTATTTGGATACTACTTTTTCCGGTCGTTGGATTGGCCGTCGAGGTCTTACAGAATGGCCAGCCCGTTCGCCAGATTTGACACCTTTGGACTTTTTTTATAAGGATATTTGAAACAAAACGTGTACGAAACTGAACCTGCTTCAATATTGAATAAACGGCAAAGAATAATAAATATCTGTAGAGATATTGACGTTACTGTGTTCGAAAATGTTCGGCGTGAAATATCGGAGAGGCTGTTCATGTCAAGAAGTTCAAGGTAAATCATTTCGAACTGACCTCAAGCTTATTACATCATTTTATGTAGTTAAATGTCACTGTATTCAGGCAATTATTAAAAGTTCCGCCATTTTGTAGTAGTTGAAGATATTAACGTTATATTCTAGGGTTGTGAATCATTTGTCAGGAGCTTCAAAAAGATGTGTCACAAGACCCCCCTTTTCATTCAATATTTTTTCCCCGATGGCGCCCAGTCGCCATCTTGAAAGTTTCATCTGTCAAATTTACTTGAAAGCGGGAAACCTCTCCGATTTCGAAGAACTATATTTTGAATTGTAGAGGTCGAAAAACTGTATTTTCTTTCTACAAGGTCTGCTGTGAATATTTTTTAGGCTAAAGTACAAGAAATCGTACTAGCGATTTTTTTAGGAAAATTTTTTTAGAAAAAATTTCATAAAAAAATATTCAATATTATTAATTCCGTGGCTGAATCAACATTCACATTGCACCATGATAGAATGCTAACTGCACACCATCTGAATGATTTTTAATTCTTGGTGAGTTGGCCGTGAAACACCGTGCGGATATGCAAAATCGCGCCCTTCTCCTCTGGCACTGGAAACAAAAGACTATTGTTGATTCTTATTGCTGCTGTCAAAAACTGTATTGAACAGTAATGTCAGAATATGCCCGATTAGTGAAAAAATATTTTTCAAAGCCGTAGGAATTAGTGAGTTATCATGGGAGAACTAAGTGTGCGAGATAAAGTTGAACTTGTGCGCATTGTTGGAGATATAATGCTCTTTCGGCAAGAGAAGTTGCCAGAGAATTTCATAACAGACATTCTGATAAACTTTCATTGAGCTGCAGTACGGTGAACCGTATAAAATTTGTTTTTAACGAAACAGGTTGTGTACCGAGGCATATGCTTAAAAACAGAAACCAAGCACATCGTGAGAATATAGAAATGGTCTGTGAATATTGCAATATTCTCGTAATAATCCTCATTCAAGCTTGCGAACGGCTAGTTTGAACTTAAATTTCCCTGGAGAAAATATCAGGAGATGTTTGTAAAAAATAAAATTAAACCATTCAAGCCAAAAGTTTTACACATTCTGGAACCGGGAGATGAAGAAAGAAGGTTAGAAATCGGTTTGTGGGCTCAAGGAGAATATTTAAACAATTGTATAAACTTCTTCAAAACAATTTTGTTCAGTGATGAAGCTACGTTCATTACAAATGAAGTAGAATAGTTACAAAATTCAAGGTACTGGTCTGCGGATAATCCTAATTGGGTTATAAACGCAAAAAGGCAATATGTATTTCCTTCAAAATGAATGTGTGGTGTGGAATAATCCATGATTGAGTTATCGGTCCATTTTTCATCGAAAGTAATCTGAGTGGAATTATATTTTTAGACTTTTTGAGAAATCAGTTGTGGGATGCAATGCATAACTTACCAGTGCAGGATCTCCTGAATTTGAAGTTTCAATTAGATAGGTCTTCTATACATAATACAGTTATTGTGAGAGAATGGCTCAATAATGATTATGGAAATCGATGGATAGGTCGAATTAGTCCTTACATTGAGGAGTGGCCGCCAAGATCACCGGACTTAACTCTTTGGGGTACTGTGAAGGGATTGAAAGTGGTATATTTTCAGGAGAGATAATTTTTGGGAAAGAAAGGTTTGGCTTTCTACTTCTCCATCTTCATACAAAACATGTGGGAGCATAATAGGGAATAAGCATATCTCTCAGTTTCGTAATATTTCGAATTCAACAAATATATTCCCAACCGGCAGCAACTGCTTGGAATTACAAATGCCGAACTTTTGAACCCGCCAAAAAATATACCTCGGGTGGTATCTGGTAGACAATGGTTCGTTACTTCCCTCAGTTCCAATTTTCCACATAGAGGTCCTATCAGTTGGTTTTCAATGATTTTTGATCAGATGATAGAATTATGAGTAGGTATAGGTGTTTCGAAAGGGCTTTTCTTCCAGTTTGTGTCTGAAAGTTACTTCTTTGCATGTTCTACACATCTTTCTATAGAGTTAATTTTCCGAAATTGATTGCTTCCGTTCTTTCTTTGGGAGAATTCCACGTTCTCTTGTATAAAGATGGAGTAGAAAGCCAAAACCCTTCTTTCCCGAAAATCAATCTGTCCTAAAAATATACCTACCCCTTTCAATTCAAATATTTCAATTCTAACTTGAAGTAAGTAAAACGGACACATCTGAAACTGTCATTCACTATTTATAAAAAAAAGGAAAACAAAAAACTTTCAATAAGAGTTGGGTAAGTTCGGACCTGGCAAAATAATAACTGAGTTAGATTTAATTGAGAACAGATATGAGATATATGGAAGGGAGCGACCAGTGTTGCCAATGTTTGTAGAATTACAAGCTTTTCAAGAAATTTTTAAATTCTGGGGTACAATCGAGGTAGTGCCACGTTGTTTCCACGTCGGTCCTATTTACGTGACTCAATGCTGAGAATTTGTCCATTTTTCATAAAAACACTCACATCAACTCACTCAACCGACTGTTATATAACAATTGCGCGTCCAAAATGGCTGAAACTTTGGTTAGTTATTGTATGTGTTCATTTATTAACTTGGTAAAAATTTCTTTTATAATGTTCAAATTTTTAAATAGATTTTACTTGAACTCGGGTAAAATTGTTAGTTATTACGTAGGTAGAAGGTCATATCATTCAAATTGTTAATATATAAAGCACAAATTCATTAGAATTTAAGTACGAAAACGTTTGAAAAAGCTATTGTACAGCCAAACACGTGTTGCGGTTTTATAAACTGTTTAGTGTTGGTCGAATATTCAAATTCAAAGTTGAATCGAATTCAAATTATAAGCTGTTTTCAAATTTGAATATTCAGAGAAAAAAAATGAGTTTGGAGACATTTCTTTCAGTGTTTGAAATATCTGTCAATTGTTTGAAAGAATAAAAAAAGACATGCGTATTCCTTATTCATATTTCAATGCATGTTTGAACCAATGGTATGTAAGCAAATTGGTTCTAGTATAACTATGATTCCAATGTGGCGAATCTTTATTTAGCTAATTTAAAACTGGCAACACTGACGTGGATAAGCCCCCATAACCTAACATCATAAACAACTCACACAGACAGAGACAAACTACAACAGGAGTCTTTCAACAACATAAATACATCATCAGAAATTATATCTACTATGTAATTGGGTGATTTTTTTGAAACGAAACGATAGGTATTAGAAGATATAGACATGGCAGATTTTACAGAGAAAATAGAATTGATAAGGAAACATTTGAAAAGCTATCCAGATTTTCCGAAAAAGGGCATTTTATTCTGGTAAGTACGAAGTCCCTTCACATGCGCATAGTGACGTTTGACGTTTTTAGGGACATTTTCGCTGTTTTACAACATCCGCACGTTTTAGCGGCGTTGAAAGATGTTTTGATACAAACTGCAAGGGAAATTCAACCACCTGTGGAGTGTGTGACTGCCCTGGATGCACGTGGATTTCTGTTCGGAACGCTTTTGGCACTGGATCTAGAAGTACCTTTTGTACCGATTAGGAAAAAGGGAAAATTACCTGGAAATGTTGTGTCGATAGTGAGCACCAAAGAATATGGAGAAGTGAGTTTGTTTCAAGCACATTCGGCAACTGCAGGAAGGAAAGCGTAGAAGGGCCACACGTTATTTTTACCAAATAAATGTAATATAAACAGATACCTTATTATTTTTTTCTAATTATACTTGTTTAAAATATGTCCCCTACTACAAATGTCATTTGCGTGCGTTTTTAAAACCAGAAAATATCTCCGATATTAGTGATGTTCTTTATTTGGCAACACTGTCGAGAAACACATTAGACCCATCTATTTATGATCCGACTATCCAAAACGAGTATTAGTTATGTGAAGATCGGCAAAGGAGAAGGTTATTCAGTATTCTTTGTGCGTACATTTATTGCCTATCATTAGCGAGCTACCTGTAGTTTTCACATTTGAAATTTATTTTACTTTAAATTCAGGTAAGTTATTGATGTTTTGTACTTGTTGAAGAAGACATAATATGATAACTGTAAAAAAAAAACTAAAGAAGTAGTTAATATTATTTCCCAAATAATCATTCACGCGCGTTTTATAGAATGTCATTTGCGTGCGATTTTATGCGCTCGCAAATGACTAAACAGCACGATAATGACATTTTTCCTTATTATTAGGATATGGGTCGTAAGAAAATTAACAGATGGACAGAAAACTAAGGAACTATCGTACCAACAATGGAAAACCAGAAAGGAAAAGAGAATTAGTGCTACAACCAAAAAAGAAATAACAGTACAGAGAACTGTGAAAGGAACATTAGAAGCCACAACATACGAACTAGTGTGTGAAATAAACCAAGAGTACCTCCCTACATTTTTATACCATACGCATATGTTCACCAATCATCAGAAATGAAAAAGCTGAAAAGGACATTAAAGAAAAATGAACTGTTCTTTCACATGGACTCTTCTGAAAATTACTTGTGCAAATATGCATGTGAACCTCAATCAGTACATTTCGGAGCATCTAGGAAACAAATAACTTTACATACAGGTGTTCTGT